AAAAACCTGTGTATATATATATAAAAAAACTATATAAATATAGTTTTAATTTGTTCAACAGGCTGGTTTCATCTGTTTCGTAGATGAGGGAACACATTATTAAATGTTCGGGGGCAGAGGTCTCTTGAGAGGACCACTTCAACTATATTTGTGTCACAACAGAAGACAGATGTTTGTCCTAGAGCTTCTCACCACATTGCCTTTCCATACTTGTTCATTTTCTGGAACACGGGGTATTTCTCACAGGCTACGCTCCAGTCACTGGAATGTGTCATCCTGTTCGAAGCTGCACTCTCAACCATGAAGATGGTTTTTCATCTGCATTTGTGGTGGCTCATGAAACTGGACATGTGTGAGTAGAACTGTGGACATCCTGCGTCCTATCTTATAATGTCTTTGGTACTGGCAAATATCCATATTTGAAAGATGCAGTTTATGTTAAGAAACAATATTCAGGGTTAGCCCTGGCTTCAGATCTCAGCTTTCTCAAGGCTTTCTTTATAGCCTTAAATAAGCTTTATATTTTGGTATTTTCAAATGGAAAAAGGAACTAATACCAAAATAACCTTCCAGGGCTGCTGTGAGAGTAGATTGAATGATGTATTATAGTCTCCTGGTGGAAATGTAAAGTACTTATAATGATGAACTATGAATTCATTGAATCAGTGGAATACATGATTCTTGAAAACAATCCATATTAAATAAGCACATCATCTGTATATGTTACTGCTGGTAAAGGATACAATACTGTATAGAAATGAGGTGCCAAGCATTGAGGTTACAACTGTTCTTTATATTTCATATAAAAACCACAATCATTTTACTTATTGATGTGATTAGAGCCAATAGAACCGGTTGGGCAGCAGTTGTCAGAGCTTTGGTTTCTCCCAGAGCATTTTAGTTTCCCTGTTTGCAGAGAACACCCACTGATTTCCCATTTTCTCTTTGGTAGAACAACAGTTCCCACAAGGCTTTTTCTGCACAGTTTCAATCTATTCTGTTTTCCCCAAGAAAGCCTACAGGCCCTTTTCTCTTTCTTGTATCAGAATTATTAAGGGCTTTAAAGAAAAAATTGCCAAAGTTTATTGAATCTCACTGCAAATGTATCTTAATTAGACAGGGACATAGAATTGATACCCAGATGGTATTTGATTCCAGAATTTTTGAATTAGGATAAAAAAGAATACACAGTGAGCTTTAAAAGAGATACCACTGAAGAATGTTTGTAATCCCTCAAATGATATTCATCCCCAATCTGTTTAAGTTATGGACAGATATCACCCATGTTAGTCAAACAGTGCTCATAGAAAAAATGCAATATAGGATCCTAACAAAGGGAAGGAGAAAATATATTCATAATAAAGCCAAAAAGAAATTTTAAAATATCTGTAACTTGGGGTAATTTTCTAGAAAGCACCCACCACTTTCCAGGCTGTTTCACATTTAAACAATGTGGAATTGCTACTGGCCAATAGCAGCAGCTAGTCTAAACTAGCTTTCAGTGTGGCGTCTTTTTTTTAACATGGAAATGACTTGTTTACCATTGCAAATTACTTCAAATTAAGCTGAGGTGTGATTTTTAAAAAGTTAGATAAACTCCTGAACAGCTCCAGATTGGAGTATGAATACATTTCTGTTAATACTCCTGGAGGGTGGACTAGATCCTTAATCCAGAAATGGATTCATTTAGCTGTAGTTATTCACAAATGTGGATATGCACAGAAGTCCAAAGAAGGCATTTTTAGTCTGTTTTGAAAGTGGATTAAGCTAATCACATGAAGGTACTCTCAAGGGTCAGTGCTTCTCTGGGGGAGCTACTGCACACTAGCTCTTTAGCTTCAGTCTCACCCTGTCGTATTTCTCATGACTTTGCTTATGTGGACAAGGGTCATGGGACTTAGGTACCTTGTTGCAATCAACTGCTGGTGACGTTTGGGATGTGAAACCACTTGGGCACTCAGAGTTCACCTGCGATGTAACTGTGCTGGCTCTCTCCTGTGCGGGGCAGTTTAGGCATGGAGCACGACGGCCAAGGGAACAGATGTGGGGATGAAGTCCGCCTGGGGAGCATCATGGCCCCCCTCGTGCAAGCCGCGTTTCATCGCTTCCACTGGTCTCGTTGCAGCCAGCAAGAGCTGAATCGATATCTCCAGTGAGTAGCTGTTAAGCAGCCTCTCTCCTTTGATTAGGAAGCATGTAAGAACAATTCTGCATCTAGCATTTGTGCTTTCTCCTTTTGTTACTTACTCAAATGGGGTTGAATAAAACAAACAAACAGTCTCCTCCATCCTATTGGGAATGAGATGCTTTCCCATCAACTGCAAATAATGCAAGTTCTCAGTTTGATTTCAGTCCACTTTAAATTGTTCTCATTTCATTTACGCCTGTTCATTTTCTGGACATTGATAGTATATATGCCATCCTCTCAGGAGTTAGGAGAAGACACTATTGCGAATCTCACTGCTAACTTTCCTCCCTCCCTAATGTAACCTCTAGATGGAGGACTGCCTATACTATGCAGCAGCGTGGTGTCTATCTTACAGATACCAAATTTGGCTTCAAGGGCCATTTGTTGCTTATGATACCTGTCAATGATAAGATGGTGCTGCCTAAAGAGGAAAGTCTGCCCTTTAAGTGCTCAGGGCTTTTCTTGACTTTAACAGCTATCTAATGAAAAGGCGTGATTCTAGAATTAATTCTTTGGTTGTCACTTTTCCTTTAAGTACCCTAAATGCAAAAGCTGTTTTATTCCCCAGTCCTTGTCACAACTTCATCCATGTCCTCTGCCTTCCCTTTGAACCTGACCCTGCACTGGAGTTCCCTGACAAACTGATATTTATGACCATGTTTTTGCTCCTTGCAGAAAAGATCTTTCCCTTGTTGTTATGTGCAAGTTGTATGGGAAAATATGGGGAAACTACTAGGATACCCAGCAAAACCTGAAAATAAGTAGGAAAAAAATGCAGCAAAATATATGAAGTAAACATGAGTTAGTCTTTTTGTCAGTATTTTTATTATTGTAGATATCTTGGTATGGCAATAAGGAATAAAAATACTGTGAGAGAAGTGTGACTGTTTCAGTTAGCAAGATCCTTTAGAGCTTTAGCCATTCAATAAAAATCATCTGGCCTAGAGGGCTGCTTTACATTCTTTTAAATACAGCTATTTTTAAATATCTTACAACAAAGCAGAACAATGGTTTGCTTTGAAGTAAATCTAACCTCAAAATTCTGCCTTCAACTATTAGTATCTTCAAGGCAACCTGAATGATTGCCAAAATAGACTTGTGTATGGTGTCCTCATGTCTGTTAAATAACTCGGGGACGTTTCAGAGATACTGTTGATCATGTTTGTCTTTTGAATTAACCAATGATTGCACCGTGTTAATCATTCTGTGATATTAGCATCAGTCCTCTCTTCTCCAGACAACGTAGTCAAACATGATTCTAGTACTTTACAGGCTGTCCTCACTATTTAGGACAAGAGGAGAAACTCCCATATTCATGACACAGAAGGGAAACTTTGTGCAAATTATGGATGGAGCTGAGAGCTATCGGGAGAAACAGAGAGGGAACAAACCTGAGCGTTTAATGCAGGCAGGAAAGTACACATGCTTGTAAATGAGTCGCTGCTTCTCAACAAGGACACAGGCAAACTGCAAGCTTAGTGGTAATCTCATATGGTTACCCTGGCTTCTGCTTCTAAAACTTCACTTGAAAGACAGTTGCAGGCAGCAAGAAATTCCACAAATGGAAAATTAATTAAACTTTCTTTTTTTCTTGGTCTCATGTGGATTCTTCCTTTGATTCCTTTCACTTAAGGAGCTTGGAGACTGATAGGAATTTACCTGCAAGCTAAATGAAAATTACAATGGAAGGGCTTCAGAAAAAAAAAAAATATAGAATCCATTAAAAGTGGATAGAACATGATAAAGTTAATGTGAGTGTAATTGCAATATTAGGTGCTCTTCATGACCAGCATCTGAGAAATCGTAGGCTCTGTTTTGTTTGGAACAAAAAGGCACTGAAACCACAAACACTGTGCAAGTCTCACAGCCCCATCTGTTACTGTAATTTTTGCCTGTTGCAGTTCCTATGATTGTCTGCGTGATGATCCCTTCGAACATGACTGGCCTTCCCTTCCACAGCTGCCAGGAATTCACTACTCCATGAATGAGCAGTGCCGTTTTGATTTTGGTTTGGGCTACATGATGTGCACAGCTGTGAGTACTTAAGTTTGGCTTCTGCTATTTCTCATCCAGGAGTGTTGTGTCTCTGAAATGCCCTTAATTGGGACCGTGTAGTGAAGCCCACAAGGAAAGATGTTGTGCCCACTTAGCTGTGAGCAAGGAGTAACAACTGAATGTTGACAAATATGTTAATTTAAGTATCTCTGTCTTTTTGTTTTTTAAACTGGAGTTACAGAAATAATTATTCTGTAGTTTCATAAATAGCTGTAGACTTCAAGCAAACAAGCTTGCTGCATTATTGAGCCTCCTATTGCTGGCAGCTAATTATTTTGCTACAAAAATCCCACCCAGATGTGAAGGAGATGGATTTGGTGGCACATCTTTTAGTGCTAACATGGGGCAGTATGCTTTTATGATCCAATTTTACGGAAACCATAATGCATTTTGATGCCTAGCATGACAAAATAAGTGTGACAGCGAGTAGAGCAACTTGCAAGGACTCGTGATGACATGGTTGGCTCTCTTGTACCAGGAAAACAAGAGACAAAGGCTAAATTTAAAGCAAGGCAAGATTAGTGTAGTTCTCAGTGGATTGGCCTCAGAAAGCAGAGTTATCTGCAGCAGGGCTGTGCCTCCCACCTCCAGCTCCTCAAGTAGGACAAAATATTAAATGGAAAGAGATGTTCTCAGCTGGTGTGGCAGCTGCTAGCACGTAACGTTTCTGCTTTGATTCCCATCTGCAGGAATATGTGTTCCGAGTGGTGTCTCTAGATAATGGATGAGAACCTTTAAAACATCAGCTGCAGTACTGAGTCTTGACACAATTCCCACTGATGTTGCCTTTGAAGAATGTCCCAGCCAAAGAGGGTCTTTTCTTACAGCCAGCCAAAGAGGGTCTTCTCTTACAGCCATTCTCCAGAGCCTGGGGGACGGAGGCTTTCTATTCTTCTTTGTTCAGAATAGCCAAAAGCATGTCCAGACATCATGTTTTAGTATATTGTGTGGTGGGTGGTTCTCATCCTCTCCTATACAAGCTCTTGCATTATAGGTAAAATGCCAATTTATTCATGGGATCAGGGTCCTGAGCTGAAATTTCCATCTTCCTAAGAAGGTGATTGCAACAGCTGAGCTACAGTCTGGGCAGCTCATTTCCCTCTCCCATGAGTACTCAAGTATTTTTTGTTTTGTTTGCCAAATGAAGCAGCACCATTTGGAGAAACTGTAAGAAAAGGCAGTGTGTTTCTTACTGTCTGGGGGAACTGGTTTCCCCCTTGCCCTGTCTGCCTTTGGTCACTAGTGTAAAACTAGTTTTGCCCAACCTTATTCCGTCAAATGCAGGTAGGATCTCACTTCAGAATCACTGATGATTTTGCATGAAAGCTCAGATATGCTCAATCCACCGACATCGTGGTGTTCCTCAGGAATCAGTGATAACAGCTGGCTTTTTACAGCTAGGAAAGGAAAAACCCCACTGTGCTGCAGCTTCTATTGCAGTTTCCAGTGGGAGCTCTCTTGAACTACCATCCGCTCTGATTTTTCTTGTGTTTCAGTTCCGTACGTTTGATCCCTGCAAGCAGCTGTGGTGTAGCCACCCCGAGAACCCCTACTTCTGCAAAACAAAGAAAGGGCCTCCGCTGGACGGGACCATGTGTGCACCAGGAAAGGTGAGAGCGGCTGCTGCACGCTCACATGCGTTCATGTGTATTTGCGTGCAGTTGGGGACGTTCCCTTTAAAATCAAGGGGAAGACAAGAACGTATCTTGAGGACTTGAAGTCCGCTAAGATGTGGGGCAAACTCATGAGTGCAAGTAAGGCTGTTGAGGAGCATAAGGGGAGGAGGCAGGGGCTGGTGTGTTCTGCATGGCAGCTCTGTGACCATCGGACCCCATTCTCATGCAAGTCATGGAAGTATCTACAAATTGCCCTGTGCTTCTTGGTAAGTCTTTGTGGCAGAGCCAAAAATGAGGAAATTTCTACTCGCCCACGACTTGGGTGAGGTCGGGGGTGTTGTGTTTGTATCAGTGATGTTGTAGTGATGCTGACTGGCTTCCCTGGTGCTGGGGTTGCAGAGAGTAGTGAGGTCCCGGAGATGACAGCCAAGCTAAGGCTGCTGTGCCTGCCCCAAGGGAAAGGATGGATGTGGGAGTCAAGTGCCAGCTAGAGAGAGCCACCATGATGGCAGAGAAGGGACTATGAAGAGAGAAGGGCAGATTTGCGGAGGTGGGTTTGCTGGCTTGATGAGAGTCAGGGGAGAGGCATGAGGAATGGTGGAGGGAAGGTGCGAGGTGGCAAGGGCTCAGACAGCTTCGACCCTTCAGCCACCATGCTGGACTTGCTCCGGGTCTCAGTTATCCTTCTGTGGAGGTCATGCTGTGCTCATAGCAGATCTGAACTCCAAGTCCTTTGAAGTATGCTGGAAAAAGTCTGGCTTCCATGGGCTTTGGATGCAGTGACTGAGGGGGAGAGGAAGGTGTCGCTACTTGGAAAGATGTTTTGCAAAACCCAACGGATGACATCATTTATGTGATAAATGAACCGTATTAGCAGCTGCTGTTATGGTTTAAAATGTCTTTTTTATGAAAACGTAAAGTAATGCTAAATTAATTACCTAGCAAGTCATGCTCTATATAAACCACTCCCTTCTGGTTTTCTCTTCTTTAGATTATTCCTGTTATAACAGCTTTGTTTCTTGTTTAAAAATTATATATATTTAAATTACAATCCAAAATCTTAGACAGTTTCTTTGGATTCTCTTTTCTATATCTTGACTTGTGCATTAAAACTATTCATGAAACCCCCAGAAAAATACAGTTGTATTCCATTTTATTGCATCACCCTCTTCCCCAAGCCATTCATTCATATTAATATTTGAACATAAATGAGAAGAAAAAAATAACTTATAACCATACAGTTAAGGATCTGTCAGTGCTTCCATTATAAACAGTTTGTCAGCATGTTATGCAAGTCAGCTGTAAAAATTTTCTCTGGACTGGAACCTGGGATCCAAGGCAGACAGCCAGGCTTTTTAGTGGAGATGCAAGAGAGTGTGTGCACATTCTGAAGTTTCAGTAGATGATAGGACTATGACTCTTTTATTCCCAGAGGAGCTGTCCCAGTTTTTTGATAAATAAACTTATTGCAACCTTCCAGGAGAACCTGAGAAAATGATATAAAATGAAAACCATTTTGTTAGATAAGGCTCAGCAGCTAAACATTTTTTTAAACATAGCATGAGTTATGAAGGTTATACAACTGACTTTGTATATCTGAGCTCAGCACTTGACCAGGGTATTTATTAGTTGTTGGTGTTTTTAATACAGGCGCATCAGATCAGTCCTTTTCCATCTGTTCCTTTCCTTTTCATCCCTGCCTTTGATTTGGCCTTTCCCTGTTCTCTCTCTGCATGGATTTGGACAATACCAGAGACTCTCACCTGGAAGGATGAGGACTGTTAAATGCATACATTGCCCAAAGCTGGGACTCAGTTGCAGCGTGGCAGCCTCCTTTAAGATACATCTCCCATGATACTTCATCAGCACGTGAGGAAGAGGAAAATAACTTCAAATGTGATCCACTATTTTGTTTGGAATAACGCCAGAACAGAAAAGAACAGAAACATAAGCAATTAAAGATGTTGATTCAGAGAGATCCATTTGTTTCCCACTTTAGAGAGTTGCAGTTTTCATGATTTCATACCACTAATTCCCAGGGCCTATTTTAAGCTCAAACCAATCACAACACTGCTGATGCGTCTAAGAAACATCCTGGCTTTGCAGCAGCTGAGGGGACTGGGTGCCAGAAATGAAAGCGATGTTCGGGAGACTAACATGGTGTATGGTGTGTAGACGTTCTCACCTACGCCTGGTGTTCAGATAACTGATAAATGGTCTCTTCACTTTCCCAAACGTAGCAGATGCTCTTGAGGAGAATCCAGTCCAGCTGCCTCCTTCCTAACTGATGATCAAGGGGCAAGAGCACCTATGGGAGACACGAGATCTGTAGCGCGTTTTCAGCAAGCACGCTGATAAGAGCCGCGTCTTCGCACCCAGGCTGTGTCTTGGGCACTGACCCTTAGAAATGGAAGGAAGATTAGACTTTCTAATGCTGCCTATATGTGTGTATGTATGCATACATATAGATGTGTATTTAAGTAAATATATGTAAATATATGGAAGCTTTTCTGTGCATGTGGTTATTTGAAATAAGTTGCCAAAAGAGTGAGGTTCTGCTATTTCTAAAACTTTTTAGTAAGTCTCCTTGTGCAAATGGAGACATTGAACGATTATGTTAACTGGCAGCAAACTAATAATTTGCTGGGTTTAGGGATAGAAAAATAAAATACTCCCTTGGAGCTTCCCAGCCAGAGAAGAAAACTACTGTTTTGATAGAATCCTAGAGGAAATAGAATATTTTATATTGCTCCCAGTCTGATTTTTTTAAACTAGATTGAGTTTTCAATAGCAAGAGGGAAGATACTGTCAATTTTGTGAAGCTTCAATAATGCAGCAACTTGCAATTACTTCTGTGTCTGAACGGTCACATGAACTTCCATGAAATAATTCCGGTGTGTAAAGTTAAGCACACAGAGGGTCAGAGTCTTAATGTGAATTCAAAGACACTCCATAAATTGCTACAGTAAACCATGCAGATGAGGCATAGCTGCGCAAAGCTTAACTGCATAGCATTCTGTGGATTAAAAGAAAACATATGCTTCGAGCTGATAATTTATTTACTTGTGTACAATTCTGTCGGCTCCACTGTTAGCCTTAGGCTTCTGAAGCCAGGCAGCCTTCAGAAATATATCATCAGTTTTTGTTGTTCTTTTTTTTTAAACTATTATTCTTCTGGGGAGACATTTATATTGGCTGAAGTAGCTAACTGCTCTCCACAGGGTAGAAATAAAACCCAAAGTCATTCATGCAAGGAGATCGCGCGCTAGAGTCCATCTGCTTGCTGCAGTGACTAACCCAAAGGTTTGCACCACCTGAGCCTCCTTTATTTCTTTTCTTGGAGAGGGGTGAGAGCCTGGTACCTGCCCCTGCCAGCCGAGCTGGTGTTGCTCTTGGACTTGGCTTATGTGCCAAGGATCCAGCACAAACCTAGCAGGTATTCTCTAATACTAATGCTAATGAGACGATCCGAGTCAAACTTGGAATGATTTTTCAGTCTGTCAGGAAAGGAAGGGAATGATTAAATACTGAAATAAATAGATATTATTGAGAAGAAAAATGGACTGAGAAAAAAGGTTTCTGAAAACACTAATGTGTACTCAAAGCAATCCAGATAATTTCCCACTGAGAAAGCTGACCTCAGCTTCTCTCGGCGACAGGAGACAGATGGGTAAGTGTATGCTGTGTTAGTCACCACAGAAACAGTGAGAATACTTGAGTCTCCGCTGAAGAAACTTTCACTGGCTCACAGTACACTTTAGTGTTAGAGCTTTCAGTTTATCCCTTGCAACTAATTATTCTCAAACAGATGGAGCAGAGCGGGCCAGCCTGCATGTGATTGGAAATACAAATAAATAAGTAACCCTTTTGTGATACGATTTCAGGAGAGTGGGGAGAGCCGAGGGCTGCCAGCCACAATGCGGTACAGGGGGTTACCTGCTCGATACCTGGGGTGTCAAGTGAGGAGCTAGGAGTGCTCCCGGTTGCTGCCCGATATAAAATAGGCAGAGATGCCCACAGAAGACCTGCACGTCTTTTCTTGAAAAATTAACTTGCAGATGCGTTAAGCCCACAGGAACCCAGTGGCTCTTTTTTTGGCATCCGCAGCAGTTGTTTCAAAGAACTGCTGAAAACAGCAGTGGAATGTTTTACTGCAAGAGATTTAAGCTTCCTCTCCTGGAAATTGCACTTGTTTTGGACTGTCCTGTTTGCCAGAAAAATAGGCGAGACGGCAAGAAGTCATCTTGTCTTCCACTAAGAAAACAATTTGCATTTACCCAGGGTGGTTTTTTTCCTCATTAAAAAAAAAAATACTGCTTTAATATGCTTCACTCTTTAAATGAGCCCCCCGTTTATGAAGGGAATAGTGGTTGAAATTGGCTCTTTTCCACCTCATTATGTAGTTAATGTAGTAGCAATAGGAAGGGTTGGCTCTAGCTTCCTCTTTTACATTGGAGATTGCTCCATCTCTGGTTTTACCTCCTCACGCGTTTTCTTGCATGGGTCTGCACAGAGTAAGACTCGGTTGTGAATAATTTTGTTTTATGTAAGCTCCTTTCTTTTAATCCACAGACAAAAAGGCAGAGCTGGGGATGACTCATTTTATACAAATGCTTGTCTCCTAATAGCTCTGCCTCAGCTTCCCAACAATCGGCGTATGACCGGCTTCTCCAGTAAAAATCAGTGCTGCTCTTTCCTTTACGCAGCAAAGTCAATAACACTTTTCCATGTTTGCCTTCCAGTTCAGGGACCAGTCACAGTGTCAGATAGGTGGTTTATTAGTGGTTGTTGCAAAGCCACATCCCCCTGTTCCTGGCTAAAACCGGGAAAAGAGATTGGAAAACACAACATCACATCTCTCCCTTTCCTCCGCGGAGTCCAAGCACTGGATCCTGGATCATCGCATAATGAACATACGCTACCTGGCTCTTGAAATGGATTCCGTGATTGCTGTGGAACTTACACCTGAGGGATGCAGAGTCCTGATAAAAGGATGTGTAAGCAAGCACAGATCAGGAGCTGTCACATCTCATCTGCTTCCAAGCCCAGCTGAAATGTGTATTGACAAGCTGATGCATCGCCAGCTTCCCCTGCAATGGTCCCATTGCTACACAGGGCCCGACGACTCAAACTGTTCCTTCAAACAAACCTCTCTAAAGCCATAAGTAAACAGTCCCTGAAGGGTACAGCGCTGAGCTTCAAAACTGAAGAAAGCAAAGGACATATTAGCATTTTGCGTTTCTTTCATGCTTTGCTGAATTATGTCTTGTTCTGTCAAACAGCTAAGAAAAATCTGCCCATTACAGCTCGGGAGCAGCATTGGTATAATTGGCTGTGGGGTAACTCATCTATTTCATAGGTTTTGACTTTGAATATTTGAAGTATGAGAAATAACGAATAGTTGAAACCTAATTTCTACTCTCTTCTCTGCTCCTTGTCCAAACAAATCAGCACCAAAATAAATTACATGAATAAAGAGCTAGTCATTGGGCAGATTAGCGAATCAGTAAGCTGTGTCTTGTCACTGTTTTACTAATGATTCTCTCTTTAAATTCAGCGTTATTAATGATTAGCCATCACTTTTAAATTTGTCTTCCAGATCACTAATCGCTCAATGCTTAAGAACACTCTCCTGTTATATATCTTCTGATTTTGTTTTTGCTGGCAGCATGCATTTAGCCATATGCTCGGCTTGTGCTGCCTGCCAAATTCCTGCGTTCCAGGGCTTGTTAAGCTGTGTAAAATGTTGTTGTTGACTTGAATGTTAAGGAAAGTAAGTGACTGATTGCACTTGTTGTTATAGCCATCTGTGCTCCTGAGCCAGAGCTCTTATCCCAACAGTAACCGTTAAGGCAGACAAACTGCGACAGTCTAATGCAAAGTCATTTGTTGGGCTGGAAATATTTTCCAGCACCCGCACTTCATCAGTAGACTTTTATGAAAGCAGAAATAGTACTAGAAAGAGCCAGAATCTGTGATCCTTGAGAAGATTCTTCCTGACTTCAGCTAAGAAAAAATTCCTTGCTTAGGGAGTGAAGAAATTGGTGGAAAGGCATTGGCAGGTTTCTTTAACGAGAGGAGACAGTAGAGAGTATCGGTACTGAAGCTACAAAGGCTCTTAAAGAAATGCGTAAATACCTTACAGGTTTGGGAAACGCAGCAAATTGTGTGTTTCAACCTCTGTAGAATGACTGTATTAAAAATCAGGTAACAGAAAAGAGAAGCCTAGCAGGGCATGATTCATTGCACACAGCGAGACTGTCCAGGGCTGCTCCCTGATGAATGCTGCCTGGTATTTTGGTCAGGTTTAGTATGAGATCTCCAGGAAGACTGCAGGAGTTCTTTATTTAATCGCAATAATGTCTAAAATGTGAGCTGCCTTTAATTGCATGCCACTTCGCTGACCACATTTGTTGCAGGGCTGTGTGTGCTGAGCTGGGAGCTGCTGGGAAGGACGGTGCTGCGGCAGCAGCTCTCGCCATCGCTGCCTGAAGTGGCCGCGTGCAATGGCAGAGGCAGAATTTTACATTTAGCCTCCAAGATCTGGGACTCTGCCGCTTCCCTGAAATGAATCCGTATTAGTTATGTTGCAATCACCACCGCAGACACGTGATGAAGGCGTGTAATGCTGAGAGCAGTTTAATGAACTTGGTAGGCTTGAATCCTGCAAGCATATATGTGCGCACTTAACATGTGTAAGTTCATAAAAGCCGAGTAAATTTGTGATCCTGGGCGCGGTCTGACAGTGAGTCTCACTACTGTCTCCTGGAGAGGTAAAAAAAAATCCAGAATTTGTGCCTAAAATGAAATCTGTTGTACCACAGCTTCTCATATGATATAATACAATCATCTGATCGTCTCATTTTCTCTTTTAGCATTGCTTTAAAGGTCACTGCATCTGGCTCACACCAGACATCCTGAAGCAGGATGGACACTGGGGGGCATGGAGTAAGTTTGGCTCTTGTTCTCGCACCTGTGGCACCGGGGTGAAGTACAGGACGCGGCAGTGTGACAATCCGCAGTAAGTATACGTACACCCATATGTTTTTCTGATGTGGAGCGAATGAATGGTGAGAACCCGTGCTAAATTACTAGTGCAGTAATGCAGTAAAGGATGTTGAGTGGCCCGTGTTAAATCTGACCTATAGTGTATGTTGTCAGAAATTCTATTTTTGGCCCTTAGCAAGTCATGAATCATCTTTATTTCGCGGTTTATCCATCCATTAAGCTGGTTATGCAGTTACAAGGATCTTGAAAGTGCTATTACACTATTGCATAAAGCATAAGCAAAAGTTTAGGGCCCTATATATGTCTTGTTTTAACATGTGAGTATGAAATAATGGCAATAATTTGCTGGATTTTTTTAAAAAGTGCATATACCTTTTTAAAATTTCTATTTAATCAACCTTTTTGGATATTTCAACAAGAAAGTCTTAAAACATTTTCAAACTGTTCTCATTCTGAGTTGGAACAAAGCTCCAGAGATCAGAACCTCTCCCAAAGTTAATTGAAATAATATTGAATTGTTTTGCTTCAATAACTTATGTATGGTGTATCTAGATAATGTAGAATGACTTAATTTCAGTAGCGCTGGAAGTATGACATATTTAATATAGATTGGTATGTACAAATGATATGAAATATATATGATTATTGCTATACTGCGATGCTGTACAATGTCAAGATCCTAACAGCAAGAACTGAAACAATTGTCAGAATTAAATGATTTTACCAGACAGAATATTGTTAACATATTTGTTAACACAAACTTTCTCAGTTTGTGCTGATAAAGTGATTGAACTTGACTAGTGTTAAAAATCATCTTATCCTTGATTAAAAAAAAAAAAAAACCACTCAAGTTTTATGAAGCAGCATTTTCTGATGGAAATTGTTCTGTTAAGAAAAAATTTACCAGTTCTAATTTCAGCCTTTATTACATTGGCAACGTGAAAGTGACCTTTATAATTGTGGGCACAGTTTTAGTTGTAAAATCTATTTTCATGTAGGAAAAGCCTAGTGTACTATTCAAAATGTTTTCTGTGCTCCTGGAAGAGGGTGCAAACCCAGCTACAACTGCGGAGCTCTGCGTTGCCAGATGTGACGGCGATCCGATGCACGTCTGCCGGGGGGATGCAGCGCCGAGCTGGGCTCTGTTTCTGGATTTGCTGCTGGCTTAGGGGGTGAATGTGAATGAGTCGCTTCATCTGCTCACGCTGTCCTTTCCTGGGCCGCACCAAGAAAATGGCTTTTCTTGCCGTTATCAAGTGGTTTGAGGCTCTACTTGCAGAAATAGCTTTTTAAGAGCTAAATGGTGACAGCGGGTTTTTAAAGGAGACACATATTTTCCATACCAGAAACACATCGCTGGCTTCATCAAATGCCCACGGACTTGACTGGGAATTAAATTACTCCTCAAAGGATTTGACAGAGGCTTGGTTCATGCATTAATGGCAAAACTAACCCTGGCTTTCTCTCCTCCCCGCAGTCCCACCAACGGAGGCCGCACATGCGTGGGGCCGAGCTACGAGTTCCAGCTGTGCAACAGCCAGGACTGTCCTAAGGACTTGGAAGATTTCAGAGAGGAGCAGTGCCGGCAGTGGGATCCTTACTTTGAGTACCAGAACACAAAACACCACTGGCTCCCCTATGAACACGTCGATGGTGAGTGGTCCCTTTTTCCTATGAAAAGTAAAATCAGTCGCAAACGTGAGTAAAAAGTATATAAGGAGGGGTAAAACTTCTTCTAGGGAAATCCTGCCTCACAAATCTGTTACGAGTTGTTTGGAGGGATCAGTGAGTATCAGTGTATGAGTGATTCAATTCATACAATGTACTTGGATTTTCAAAAAGCTTTGGACCCCGTTCCCCAACAACTGCTCTTAAACTGCATTAGCAAGAGAAAAAATGGGAATGGTCTTGCATGGGGGTGTGTGTCCCACAAGGCTGGGTGCTGGGAGCATGGGTGCTGCTGAGCACGTGTGGCAGTGAGCAGGGAAAGGGAGCGAGCGAGGTGACAAAATCTGCTCGGGATACAAAATTACTCAGGCTAATTAAAATAAGAAGGCCCACAGTGAGAGCTGCAGAAAGACCTTGTGACACTAGGTGACTGAATGTGGCAAATGAAGTTTGACGTTGATAAATGCCAGCAACGGATATGGGGATAAAAAATGGTAAGTGTGTATATGTGTATGGGTCTGTACACAAGGTGGGCTCTGAGGAGAAAGGTGTGGGAGTTGGGAGTAGCTTTAGGAAAACATCAGTTCGGTGACTGTCAAGAGAGGGATGGAGAACACTGATCTGCCTCTGTGTACCTGCGTGAGGTGTCTGCGTTTTAAATACTCCGCCAACGTAGCTCAGGTTGTGCCCATCTCACTGTTGCCCTCATTGCTGAAAAACCCACAGCTGAACTCAGAAAGACCCGAATAAAGCAAACATAAGCAGTGACTTCTAAATAAGGAGAGTTTATCTAAACTAGGACTTTTCACCCTGAAAAAGTGATGATTTAGATTAAAAAGATAAGAGTTACAGAATTGTGAGTGGCATGAAGAGACTGATCATGGAGTGATTATTCACCGTTTCTCATAACACAATCCTGGGAACATCAAATAAAATTATCGGGTGGCAGATTTAAAACAAATAAGAGGAAGTACTTTTCCACACAGCATATAATTAAACTGGAATTCATTGCCACAGGAAGTTGCAGATACCAGAAAGTTTTAAAAGTGATTTAGAGAATTCTTGAAAGTTCTATAATCCATTAAGAGTTATTAAACACCAAGCTCCAGACATGATTTGGGAAGTCCACAAGCTGCAGTTTACAAGAAACTTGGAGAATATTCTGAGAAAAGTATCAGGTTTGTTCTTACATCTTCCTGCAAACACTGCTGGCACTGCCAGAGGCAGGTGTTGGGTTGGACGGGTGCTGGGTCTGAACCCGCACGGTCAGTCTGGTGTTCTGGCATCTCGGCAGAGATGCCTCTTAGAACAAAAATGTTCCCTTTCCTGTTAACGCCTCTGCTTAACCGCCAATGAAAGTGCAGCTGGTTGATTTGGGCCATGAAGGCTGTTGCCGTGCCATTGCCACGTTGTGTTGAAAACATGCCGAGAAGAGGTTTTCCCAAACAAAAAGGCGGAGGGCAACAGTTCTCAACTTGTTTGACGAGGAGTGCAGGCTGCTCGCCGTTTTTAAATCTGGTCACTTCATTTGAATGCCGGGTGCTCCAGGGCAGGGTTGGCCTGGCAAGGGGCAAGTACCAGGCACCCGAGGTGTCCTCAGCCAGGCGCCCATCTCTGGGAGGGGAAGAGGCACTTTGGGTGCATCATTTTGCATTCCAGTAAGAGGATACTCTGCCAGAAGTTAATAGCAAATTCCTTGTAATTAATTTGCCTGACGTTCTTCCTGAACAGTTCCCAGGGTTCTATCATTCTTTTCATGCCTTCTTGTGTAATCTGGGATTTTCAGAAGCACAGACACAGCCTCACAGCTTAATTTCATGAAATAGCTTTGCTAAGGGAGAGGGGACAAACGCTGTGGCCCGCAGACCTTTGCTTCTGCTTTAGCCTTTGGAGCAGTCTGCTGCAAAGACCACTGAAACTAATCAGATGTTTTTCTATTAAATTCAATGGCTCCTGGGTCAGAAACCGGCTCACTGATGTCTGAGCACTGATCACTGGGCACTGCTGGCTTCCCATATAACTGTGGTGTAACTGCAGCCCGCTTTGTGAGAGTACATTTACCAGTGCAGGGTTATTAGAGGGAACAGCTTCTGTGTGAAAACAAGGCCAGGGGGTGGTTTATGTTTGAACTCCAATATATTTAAAACTCCCTTTTGTAAAGATAAGGCATATCAGTGACATACTTTGTGCAGATAATGCAGTCCTGGCTCAAAAGCGACATAAATCCATACACTCGACACACAGCTCAGCCGGACGTGTCTGACACATCGTGTATGTGATGGGGACAGAGAGGAGCATCTCATCCTGTGGCCAGAGAAAAGCTGCTGAGCTGGGGTACACCCCAGTGTGTGCTTGAGCACCCCGGTGCTGCACTGTGCCGTGGCCCCTCTCCCGTCCCAAACCCCTGAGCACCCCATCTCCCAGCCTCCGCCGGGCTCACATACCCCTGTGCCCTGCATCCGCCAGGGCAGTGGAGAGCGGCGTTGGCTGTTAGCTCCCAGCCTCAATTAAACGAGAAGGAAGCGCATGGGGAGCAGGGAACGGACAGGCATGTGTCATGTCCATGCTCCTGCACCTCTACTGTGCCCAACACCAGCAAATAGAAAAAAACGAATTCCTTGCAATTAGCAGGGTCCAATTTAACGACACTTGCACATTTACTGTTCCCATGGAGTGATGGGAAGAAAACCCTCTGTAAACTAAAGCCCTTGGACAGAGTTGTTGGCACCCAGGCAGACCTTCTGATGTTCTCAGAAGTGAATGTTCACTGAATTTTCACACAGCGAATGTATGGTATGTGTGGGGTGGGTGTGGGTACATATGCGGGGCGGGGGGGGTGTACATGTCTATGTCTTGTGCATAGCTTAATTTTACTAATATATGCAAACACATTAGGTCTGTGATTATTATGATCTTAATAATCCCCTATTAAGAATCTGCACAAGAAAAGTGAAGTACCAATTTTAATAGTCTAGACCCTGCGTTTTTAGCATGACATCTCTGCGTTGTTCAGGAGCAGTAACAAAGGTCTCCGATGTGCCAACACCCAGTGGCCATGAGGACATCAACAGCAATAACAAGGACTTTATTAAAAGAGGGCAGAGGCCATGGAACTGTACAGGGGAAGAATGCAAACAGCCTGTGAAGATTTATTTTAATTGAACTGCTATAGCAGAAAGGTTGCTATTGTTTTAAATGGTGGGAAAAGTGTCCCAACTTTTAATCATGTTAAAATAGCAGAATCTTTATTTGTTTCACCTAACAGAAAGGCCATCTGCTCTTCACTGCCAAGGAAAGCATAATCCTTTTGGGGATCCTATTGTGGGGCTGGGGACAGCAAGAGATACGGGTAAAATGAAATACACTGGTGGAATACAACTTTATTCAGCCACTGACTAGTCATTTCAGCTTTATTTTTTGTTCTTAGCTCTTGGGAACAGATTAGGAAAAAAGAGGTACGCTTGTCTGTCTGTGCATGTGTTAGCAGTAAAGAAATGTTTTTTTTCTGAATCTCTTTGACATCTCATCTTCTTTAATGATTTAAACTATCATAAATACAAGACAACAATGAGGGAGAATTAACTTCACATTTAGGAGGAAACGGTATGGCCCAGCTGTCTCTGAAGACATTTTGGATGCCAGATTCACTTAGTGTTGAACAGCTGCTTTTAATGGCAAAACGACTTTTGCTTTTTTTCAGATTTAAGTGCAGTGCAGGAGAAACTGATGCAGAAACCTGCGTGTCTCGCAGGTAGCCATGTAGCAGACTGCAGGAACCCCTGCCAGATTGCATCATCTGACAAAGGATTAAACAGAGGCCCCCCATCAAAGTAAATGATCTGTTATTTTTAAGGCTTTCTCCTAATGATGACACATGGGTGCTTTATGATTCAGCAGTTTCCAGGTGATCACATAGCCTTTGAAAGGGGATAAACATCAGTGATTTATGGGGCACGGTGTTGTGTTCTGTGATGTATGCAAAGAGGAGAGCGCCGACACTGAAAGCGCTGTTCACAAAGCCAGCAACTAAACCATTAGAGCTGAACACGCACCATTTGGGTCATTTTCTTTTTCAGCTAAGGAAAGGTGCCACCTGTATTGCGAATCAAAGGAAACGGGAGATGTGGTGTATATGAAAAGGATGGTACACGATGGGACCCGCTGCTCCTACAAAGACGCTTACAGCATCTGCGTGCGGGGAGACTGCTTGGTAAGCTGTTACTGGCTTGTTGCAGAGCTTAGTATTGTGAAAACAATTTAAAGTGGTAGCTTGAGTATTTCTGTCCAAGAATGACTGTTTAAGTAAGTATAATAACGCTTTGGGCAATAAGGAGATTTCATTAGGATTATTGTCACAATATTATGTGTGATATTCACAGTTGCCATCACATTGCATGTGACTCAATTCCAACAGCGCCTACCTACACAAGTAATATTTAATGCAGTGTTTTAAGATGAACTATTACAATTAGCTTTCAATGAAAGCTTTCCCTGCTGAGGTTTAGTGGGCGTGGAATGTACAATGAAATCGGAACTGCAGCAGCTTTCAAGGAAAGTGGTGTTAAGATATGGCTGATGTGCATTCTCTCTGTATTTGATCGTGCTATTTTTAAAAAAATCAATGACAGTTCCTCTAAGTTGAGATCTGCCACAGGTCATCTTCCAACAGAATTAGAGGCTCTGACTTAGCGAAGCACTGGTGGAGGTGCTTATCCTCACATAGATGCTTTGATTCTCCTGGGATTTAAGCATCTGCTTTAAGATAAGCTGAGGCTTAAGAGCTTTTCCTTAACCGTGCTACTTTCCTTCAGTGAGAGGACCCCCGTGAAGCATAATAGAAAAATATAATCACCTGATTGACAGCTACTGTAAGAACTGGAAGTATTAAAATCTGCTTAGATGTTGGTCTTCCAGGAAAATACTACAATTTGTACTTTTGTGCTGAGCAGAAGTCTGGGGTTTGATATCTGAAGTGAAGGCTCATTTGAATGGAAGCGTGGATAAATAAGAATGACTGTTTTTCTCTTCTGTGCACAGAAAGTTGGGTGCGACAGGGTCATAGGTTCCACGAAACAGGAAGATAAGTGTGGTGTTTGTGGAGGAGATAATTCCCACTGCAAAGTGGTGAAAGGAACATTTTCAAGGGTACCAAAGAAACAAGGTCAGTGCATTCAGTGTGTTTTGTCCCGGGGAATTCAGGGTGGTTTTGTTTGAGCTCTTCTGTTTCATGGAAAGTACCAGAGCAATCACAAGTCATTTACAGCATCACTAATTCCAACAAACTCTCTGGACTTTACTTTGAGATGTGTCTAGCATTTGAAAATGAGACTTTTGTCCAGTGGTCAGTTAAGTCTGCTGATATCAGGGCCTGTGCATGCATAGAGGAGGGCTTCAAGTGCTCCATGTCGGAGAGCTACGGACTTATTTGTGCTGCTGATGTCACTCAGCTGCGCCGTCCGAGTCACTGGAGTGCTGCAATAATATGTCGTCATCACTCACTGCCAGCCAGGAGCTCGCATGGTCTCTCTCTGCGGGTACGCACGGCACTCGAAGCCCGTTTCAGTCTGAGGCAAAGTCAGTTTGTTGATGGTACTTAAGGCGTTTTTCTTCGGAGCCAAAGCCCTTTGTCCCTGTTGTGTTCCATCACCTGGCACAGAAACAGGAATGGGAATGATGCTGGATTGGGTTCAGCTTGCTGTAATACACCCTGCTTTTAGAAAATAAGATTTATTTTAAAACCTAAGACAGACTTTTCCTGTTCGTGGCATACTAACCAGTTACTTTCTTTTCAAATACTACAATAAAGGGCACATTAAGATGTTTGAAATTCCTGTTGGTGCGAGACACTTACTTATACAGGAAACAGAGGCCACCAGTCATAATCTTGGTAAGTACGTAACAAGTGGGAAAATTTTCAGTCAGAATATGTTTTTTCAGCTGTTTATTTTTGTCTCTGGAGCCTCACAATGTGTTTATGCATTTGTTTACCCATTATCCTCCCACACCACATACCTCCTTTAAATATGTTAAATTAGGAAACTTGTTTGGCAATTTGTTTTCCCTGTGCTGTATTCCCCAGTGTCCTAACCAGAAGAGCCCTGCATTGGCATGTGCATGCGTGAAAGCTGCTGGAAGAGGAGCTGAATTACATTAAGGGGTGCAACGCATTATCATAGAATCATAGAATCGTTTAGGTTGGAAAAGACCTTTAAGATCATCCAGTCCAACCATTAACCTACACTACCAAGTCCACTCTAAACCAATCAACCAATCGTTATCTTTGTGCGCATCTCTCGTAACGTGCTGCCCATCCTCAGTCATTGCCCAGCCACATCCAAATCCGGTTCAGGTTCTGCCCCATTGCTAACAGTATTGACGCAAGGCTGCCCGATCAATCACGCAGCTTAGAAAGTGATTGAAATCCGCTCCTCGCGGTGCCCCGTATCAACGCGAAGCAGTGTCTAGTAGGCTGTTATTAACTGGAAGTAGATTCACAGCGAATGGCCTGCTAATTGTATCGCGAGTCATCCCGACTTCTCACCAGTGAACGCTTCCCTTGCTGCTCAGTGCAGCCTGGCCCCGGGGATCAGGAGAGCGATCGCTCGCCGATTCAGACAAGGTTCTTCTTTCGGTGTGGGGTAAGCGATACGTGGGGGTCACGAACAGCTTGCTCTCTGTTGAGGCCAGCGCTGAAGGAGCAGGATGCTCAGGTAGCTGCTGGAGAGAGGAGGGAGTTAAAATCTGGTGGTAAATAACAAACAGTCCCTGCTTCTTCTAACACGGAGTGCAAATTTTCCATCTCGGGAGAAAACCCAGAGTCCTTGTACAAAGGTGGCTGAAGTCTCTCTGGCTGAAGGATGGGGCATTGATTACAGCTGAACCAGAGCAATCGGGCGCTGTGCGCAATGGCAGGCGCCTGCAAAGCCGCAGGAGCTTGAGCAGGGCTGTGTCGGTGTCAGGGCTGGATCTGAGCAGCAGAATTAATACCGTTCCTAGCGTCTCTCTCTCGCTGGGGGGCCCCGCTGGGGGTTAGCTCAGTAGCCTTTCTCTCATGGAGCAGGAACAGCCCCCTGAGCTGCCTTACAATGTGTCAAAGAGCTGAGTAGCCGTGGGACCCCTACCAGCTGTCAAATTGGCTCGGATTTGGCCACTGGACTCAGAAGTTGTTAGTCGGGAGCAGGCAGACGGACACACGCAGTGCAGTCGCGCTGGCCTCATTTCTCTGGCAAGGCAGGCTATGAAAAAGAAAAAAAATAGGACAATTGATGTTTCTGGAGCTGATCAGGAAAGCTTTGGCAGTTCAGTGAAACACCTGAAAAGTCTTTCCAAACCTGTGAGGGAACAGCGGGAAAATGCAGACTGGCCTTTTCTGCTTCTTCCACTGCAACAAGAGCAGAAAAAACTCGAGATGAGAAGCAAACCTCTTGTATTCACTTTTCTTCTGTTTTTCCTAGCAATTAAAAATCGTGAAACGGGGAAATTCATTCTAAGCGAAGACAACTATGTGCCTGACTCTAAAGTATTTATTGACATGGGTGTGGAGTGGGAATATCGGAACGATGATGATAGAGAAACTGTGCAGACCATGGGGCCGCTGCGTAATGGAATAGTTATTCTGGTAAGTCAAATGAAAACCATCTTCCATGGAACACAGTGTCAGGGTTACAGAGCCATAATGTGCTATAATATATTTTAGATTCCTCTTGTGAGTTACAAGAAGACATCTGCTTCAATTATAAGACAATAGAAGATGTATTTTAATTCCTTTCGCCTAATTCATTGCTCTGTGCAAGGGTTGTTGGAACTCAGGGTTATGTGCTGAGCAACCAACTCTCCTGATTATTTCCTGTGGATGGCCTAGCAAATGGCCACTGCGTAAAGAGTCTCCAGATTACTTGCCATATCTGACATGTGAGCATTAGTTAAAAAAAGGTCAGAATGGTTCATAGCAGATAGATCTAATAGCTCCTCCTCGCATCCGTGTTTTGAAAATGTATCCTGCAAAGGCAGATGCAGGATTCTTGTGCTTCCAGGCTCACTTGGTCAGGTCACAGCCAGTTCTGCAGTTCCCAGACACAACGACTATATTCTTTTTTCATTGCAAACCAGCAAATGATAGACTAAAATGAGGAGGGGTAGGCTGATTCAGAATCCCTCTGAAAGCAGCTGTAATGTGTTGATCTACACCAGCTGAATGTCAAAGGAGGAATAAATATGTTTTCAAAGAACCGATATTTTGCACTTTATTCACATTAAGTTCCATTTTCTTGCATTTGTCTTAGTGCAGTGTGATAGCAAAAACTCTTTCCAAATAGTTTAAATTTCTGTCAGGATTAAGTAACAAGCTTCACAGAATTCCAGGATTATCATAAGAATATTTGTGTTTTATCAGAAATATAAGCAATTTTCTTCACCACTTTCAGTTATCTGTGCATTTGAATTTGCCTTGTCTTTTCGTGGAACTATCCATGATCATTTTAGTACAACATTTCCTTCCTTTATGATGGGATATGGAAAAAATTTAGTATCGTGAAGTCAGTCCAATGCTGGCAAGAAAACTCACTCTAAATCAACAACAGTCTTTCTTAATATGCAGTTTAGAAACTCTGTGTCATAAGGATAGAGATAGTTTTTCATCAGGGGAAAAAAAAATGTGTTGAGTGCAGCTAAAAGGTTTAAATCCCTCTGGGGATGTTTTTATATCTGAGCCACGGTGTTTGCTATTTCACGTCATCTCACATAGCTTCTGATATCAGTCTTTCAAATCTTTTTTCCTTACATCTGTTTTGCTTACTAGGTGATTCCTCACGGTGGTGCCAAGATATCTTTGACTTACAAGTACATGATCCATGAAGATTCCTTGAATGTAGATAACAATAATGTTTTGGAAGAGGACTCGGTGTCATATGAATGGGCTTTGAAGAAATGGTCCCAATGTTCAAAACCTTGTGGAGGAGGTAAAAACAAACCCCCAAAGTATTCAAAATTAATTAAGAGAAAACTGAAAGAACAAACACCATGTGTGGAATTCATTGCCAGAAGATATTAGGGAGACCAGGAGTATGGGAGGGTTTTATTTAAGTCAAGAAATAGATAAATGAATAATGAATGGAGTTAAAAATCTGACTTAAATGGTTTTGGGGGGCAGATCTAGGGTGGCTCGTTTCTGATTTATGTTTACGAAACTGAAAAATTGTACAAATGTGCAAGATTGGGATGAGGGTCTCCAAGCTGCAGGAGTGCCAAACCTCAAGGTGCCACGGGACAGCACTTAGTAAATCTGCGTCCTGTGATGTGGACCTTGCAATGGGAAGACCCTTGCTTTTGGGGACAGATATATACCCAAAATGTATGTGCAGATGTATAATGTATCACCAGGCCGATGGGCAGGCTGCAGCCCCTGGATGTGGCTCTGCGGGTTTGCAGAATGTTTTTGAAGTGGTAGGTGTTACTGTTTTTCTCATCATAGCCTGTAGTGAAAAATAAAGGGGATGAGCAATTCTGGGTGCTAAATCTACACGAATAAGTGTTTATTCAGTGCAATTTACAGTTGCTTTTGTAGCGCGTTCACCTGTAGTTCCAGCTGCAACCTTTGACAGTGTATGTGCAGTTTGTTTGAAACCTGAGTCCTGCGTAAGAACTACCAGTACTGAAAATAAGAGGAGTGTCTTTCTTCAGGCTACCAGTTCACAAAATACGGCTGCCGGAGGAAGACAGACCACAAGATGGTTCATCGGAGTTACTGCGAGCTGATCCAAAAGCCCAAGCCCATTCGCAGGGTGTGCAATCTCCAGGAGTGCTCCCAGCCCATGTAAGCATCGCTGCGCTAGGCGCTGTACCCAGCTAGCACCTGGCAGCTGAAAGACGGTGACTTAAGCTTCACCTCCGTGCGTCGTTACGGAGACTGTCGTGGTTTAGCCCCAGCCAGCAACTAAGCACCACGCAGCCGCTCGCTCACTCCCCCTACCCCGATGGGATGGGGGAGAGAATTGGAGGAGTAAGAGTGAGAAACACTCCTGGGCTGAGATAAGAACAGTTTAATAATTGAAATAAAGTAAAATAGTAATGCTAATAGTAACAGTATAATAATGATAATAATAATAATGATACACGAAGCAAGTGATGCACAATGCAATTGCTCACCACCCGCCGACCGATACCCAGCCAGTTCCCGAGCAGCGATCGCTGCTCCCCGGCCAACCCCCCCCAGTTTCTATACTGAGCATGACGTCATATGGTATGGAATAGCCCTTTGGTCAGTTTGGATCAACTATTCTGGCTGTGCCCCCTCCCAGTTTCTTGTGCGCCTGGCAGAGCATGGGAAGCTGAAAAAGTCCTTGACTAGCATAAGCAGTACTCAGCAACAACTACAAACATCAGCCTGTTATCAACATTCTTCTCCTACTAAATCCAAAACACAGCACTATGCCTGCTGTTAGGAAGAAAATTAACTCTATCCCAGCCGAAACCAGGACAGAGACCCAGGACTGTGAGGATGTGATGCTATATTCTGCTTGTAGCAATACTATTTCTGGGACTGCTGGTTCCTATTACTTCTGAAATAAGTTGGATTAGGAAAGAAGTGCTGTCTTGATCCAGACATTTGTGTTCAGGCCATCTTGAGGTAATAAAAAAATAAACATAAATTCATTTTATACCAGTTGATTTTACATGGTGTGAATCAACCATGTAAGAACAAATTTAGAGAGTGCTATATAAGGAAACCAAAGTCATACAGCCTCTCAAATCCAAATCTTCTGAAAGTTCACAGCATATTTTTGAACATTTAAACACAGGGAAAAATATTTGGCCTGTTAGATTTCTGTGGCTGCCCTCGTACAGCATGGTATGCCTCTTGTACCTTCATCTTTGCTATGCATAGTCAAGTGTTATAAATATTCTAATTTACATTTTACAGGTGCTTTGTTTGACTGGCAGCGGGTTACTCCTGCCACATGTAGGACTCCTATATTCCTCATGTTGCTACTGCGACAAGAAAGGAGTATGTCGATCCCAGCTTTTGTCTCTGGGGACCAAGTCTAGATTCCAGGAAGCAGAGAAAATAAGTAGAACATGCCACACGATATTTCCTAACTTCCTTTCAAAAAAGTTTTGAAAGAGAGAAAAGTCAAGAGACTGTGCCCCATAAACTCAGCATGGGTCAGGGTTTAACATTTATTTATTGGAAAACTGAAGTAATGACCTAACCATATCTCAGGCTCTCTGGAAAGAACTGTATTCTTTCAGCTGCAAATATAATTGGACCCAGGTACCACAAAGACTCAATAGGATCCAAAATTGTAGTTGGATTCCTGAATGTTTCAGTCACCTCCGTTTCCACAGAATGGCATTGGAGCATTTTGCACTTGTACATAGGAGAGGCAATTATTTAAGAGATTTTACGAAGCTCTGTGACACCCTCTACACTAATATGCTACTTCTTCAGTGCTGGGAAAAAATCATCTTTGTCTCAGAAATCACTTTAGGATTCAAGGCTTTGTGCTCCACAGTGCTCACCTTCCAGCTGTGTAATTTCAATAGGCTACAACGAGAAAGTTGGGTGAAATTGCCACTTGGCTTTTTGTTTAGCTTGAGCGTTTAGTGCATTGCCTTGTGCCCATGCTATTTCTTGACTATAAACCCAGGATTTTATGAGTACTTTAGGACAATTGCTTCAAACTCAGGATATTTCTTCAGACTGTATATATTTTTTGGTTAAGTTTATCCCATGAATACTATTTACATTGAACAGTATTTCCTTCTTGGAGATCTCTGCATTCTGTAACTATTTATAGACTGCTGCATATCTTCACTTGCTTGATTATAACCAAGCTTTCAGTAGTCTACATAGATTTCCTCTGGTCCTGTCTGTCCTGTTGCTCTTCTCTAAGTTCCTTACAATTTGTAGCTGTAATTCTTGAGCCAGTTTGGATGATCAGCGAAGTTTTCAGCTGTGCCACATTGCAAACCATACGTTTCATTTTTCAGTGGCCAAACTGATTTACACGTTATGAACTCAGACCTTCTGATTTTCAGTGGAGTGTTGCCTTCCCCCAAGCCCAACATTTATGACGCTGAGGACCCCGATTTAGAATCATAGAATCATAGAATCATCTAGGTTGGAAA